GAGCGATGGCCTCCAACCTAGTAGCGATGGCCCTCAACCTAAGAGCGTTGGCCCTCAACCTGAGAGCGATGGCCTCCCACGTAAGGGCGATGGCCTCCAACCTAGTAGCGTTGGCCTCCAGCCTTGTTGATCGGTAAGGTGTAGCAAGGAGCCGACCTTTTACTGGCCCAAACTGGATTTTCTCCAAGGCATGAGAACCTCGCTTCAGCTTTCGGAGCATCCCGCGGCAGGCACAACAAATTTCTTTTCTGGTTCTTTGCTGGTTCTTTGGTCACTTGAAAAAGACTGAAGAAACTGAAGAGTTTTCCAAGTGTCCAAAACTCTTCAGGAGCAACGATAGAATCCTTGGAGATGTTCCCAGATGTGTAAGCTATGCCTGTTATGCTTGTTTGCTTCTTTCTTTTTCACATGTTGGTTGTTTCCTTTGCCTTGGTTCACTCCGTTCTTCAGTCTCCCAATCCGACTGTGAGGCAGCCCTTCACGACCCTCACCGGAGACGATGTGTTGCTGTCCTATTTGCCTTTGCCTCACATCTTCGAGCGAATGGTGCAGTCTTTGGCCTCAGAGCATTTCAGCGGGTAGCTTCACGGTGCACGTTTTTTGTTGCAATTCTGGGACTCGATTGGACGGAAAAAAGACATTGTCAAATCGAATTTCTTGGGAAGAATAACAGAAGAGGTAATATAATATGTAATATATTTACTTTATGTATACGTTCTCTTATGTTTGTCTCTTTTTCAAACCGGCTTCGTTCTCGCAGCTTCCCACGTGGCTTCCGAGCTCCGTGAGAGGTTTGGCACGCTGTTTGGTGGCGGTCGCATTGGGTTCTACCAGGGGGACACCTTGAAGATTGTGGACGACCTTCAGGAGACCAAAAGCCTCCAACCTAGAAGCAATGGTCTTTCAAACATTGATTAACTTGTGCTGTTCTTTTGCTCGCTATTTTTAAGTTGTCCATAAAGGCCTCCCATTGTCTTTGGCTTAAAGTAGTTAGTGTGTTGCGTGCGTACCTCAAGCACGCCAAACCATCAATGGGCAACACCTTGTTTTCGGATGACGTCAGCGCCACCAAGTGATGTCGACGCGGCGGCCTCGGCCGCCTCGCAGGCTCTCAGACCCACCATTTTTCCGTCAGTCCCGCGACTTCTGACGCGAGTCCATGACAGGCCGATTCGGAGAGGGGAAACAAAAGGGGACATGGGAGGAGGCGCAACAAACAGGTGGAAAATGGTTCCTGTTCTTTTCTCGTATCAGAGAAAGGTATCAGAATCGAATCCTGATTTCGATTGGCGGTGTTGGAGCCATTGTTTGCCACTGCGCGACGCAACGGCTCTCTAATTTCCTTGTGGCGCACGCTTTCTGGCTTGAAGCGAGTTTGTACAAAAGCTGCAGCCATAGTGTCGGGACCAGATTCGCACAGACCCGCTATTTGTCTTGAGCTCAGCTAATTTTGCGACGAGAGAGAGAGAGAGAGGAGACATGGACTACCCTAGTAGCGATGGCCTCCAACCTAGTAGATTTGCAAATGGTCCATGCCTTTGTCAATTCGATGTGTGCTCCATGTGGATCATTCGTTTGATATATCTCCATACGTTCATAAAAGTTTGGTCGTTCTAAAGTTTCCATTGGCACACTTGTCATTTTGCCCTTTTTGTTTAGAATGTTGGATCTACCGAGGAAGGCATGGCAGGAAAGACAGCCGGATTGGTGAGCAGTGAAGAATTTGCCAAGATGTGCAATCGGGATCAACCCAAGCTCGCTAAAGGCCGAACGCCGGACCTCCTTGCGGTCTGTTGGAATGGTTTTACATGCTTGTGAAGCTTGGTATTTGCTTTATTTGTCAGCAAGAATGGAAGTAGTTTGAATTGCAGGTCGCGTGCTTGCTATACCAGTGATGTTGCTTGATACATTGAAGAGCAGTGTGTGTGTGTGTGTTTTCCGCGAGTGTGTTTCACTCCTTTCTTCCTTTACTTTTTTCTCTGTTTTTACTAGCGATGGCCTCCAACCTAAGAGCGGAGAACGAAAGTTTGAACAGCAATGCCTAGTGCTTTTTCCACCTGCCCCATGAAGCCATGACGCAGGCAGCAAGAAAAGAGGACTCTTGGCGGCTCTCTCCATTGATGCCCCACTTCTAGAGTCGCCCCTCAACAGCACCATAGCAGTGTAAGCTCAAGAAGATTAGAGTGAAGCTGACAGAGGAGTATTGAATAGCAGGTTTTTGGGGGATCTATAGAGTGTTGTAGAATTTGGACTGCATGGCAAGAAAGTACTGCAATGTGAGCAAGTCAAAGATTGCTGAAGGAGGTATTGCTTCTGAGGAAGAAAGAATTGAGGAAGAAAATCAGAACGAAGAATAAGAACATATGATTAAAGTGTTGTTTGTTGATTTCTGTCGTTTTTGTTTCGTTTCTGTTGTTTGTTCAAAAGTCACTTCGGAGTCAAATCTCCCAGGTCACGATCCCCGAACTCCATGCCCCGGCAGACCAGCGCCGGTGCTTTGGCCCAGAGCTTGGGGTCCGGTCCCACGCGGTGCGCGGTAGAACCGAAGAAACAGATGAATTCTTGTTACTACTAGTAACAAGTGCCACGCTAGTAGTAACAGGTGCCTTACTAGTAGTAACAAGAAGCTATTAGAAACAATAAGCTAATAGTTTCTTGTTACTACTAGTAAGGCACCTGTTACTACTAGCGTGGCACTTGTTACTACAAGCTTCTTGTTTCTAATAGCAAACATTGTTCCTAGTAGTAAGCCACTTGTTACTAGAAGCGATGCACTTGTTTCTAACAGCTTCTTGTTACTACTAGTAAGGCCTTTGCTCCTAGTAGCGATGCACTTGTTCCTAGTAGCTTATTGTGACATATTCTCAGACTTAAGACTCGAGGTCTTGTTATCCTTTAGCAATGGCCTCCATCCTAGCAATGTGATTTTCGGAAGGAGTCAAAATCGAAGTGTTTCCAGCAAGGGCTCTTGTTTTGGCTTTCCAAACCTTTTGCTGTTGCCACAAGTCTTGGATGCACAAGCATGAGAGCATGTAGGGTAGTTTTTTTCCGAAGAATCAATTTTTTTTCTTCATTTTTTTAGTAACTAGAAGCTACTAGGTGGAGGCCATCGCTATTCGGTTGGAGGCCATCGCTACTAGTAACAATAAAGCTTTCTAGTATGTCTTTGAAGCTTCTGGAGAAAAAAAGCTTTCCTTTTTTGTCCTTTTTCCTTGGAGAGTGCACCAAATTGCACCTCAAGAGAGGCGATACGGAATCTGAGCGGATGCCTCCAATTCAGGAACATTGAATGGATGCACAGTGGATGCAAGTCGGTCCCGGGTTTCAGATTTGGGAAGCACCCCCCAGTGCAAAGGTGGACACATTGCCGGGCTGGGGGGAAAGAACTACCATCTCCATAGAAACCTGCTAGAATAATTTGAAGTTGAGAGCTCGCCCCTATGTGGCGAGATCCTCAAGAGCGTTGTCAAGCCAGTGGTCGATTTGATTATCATTTTGTAGATGTCTTTCCTTCTGGTTGTCCTTGAAATGCTGGAATGCCGTACAACATGTTACAACGAAGTTGCCCGGTGCCATTGCTATCTTGGAAACCGCAAGTGCCTGCGGAAAAAAACTCATCGAAACTGGGTGAAGTGTCCAGACGGGAAACCCCGCGGGGGTAGGCCGCTAGAAGGATCAGGTAGCTACTAGCTACTATTGAGCTTCTAGCTAGGACGCAGGCTAGCTCGCGCTAAAGATTTGGTTCCTAGATTTTTAGGGACACCTAACCAGTAACAAGAAGCTACTAGGGGCTCCTGGCATCGCTACTAGGAGCAAGGACGCTACTAGGGGCTCCTGGCATCGCTACTAGGAGCAAAGGGCATCGCTACTAGGAGCAAAGGCTCCGTGACTTTGTTTTGGGGTTCCGGACGGGTGTATCAACCTCAGCATTTATGGCGCTAGTCACTATTCACAGCAGAAATCACCATTGGCACAGAACTCTTCGTGGCTGCAGCACAGGAAGACCTTCAGCAAACTCTGATTTTGATTAAAGAAAGTAACAGAAGCGCCGGTTTGTTTATTCAAAAGTATGTGTAAGAAACCTTGGAGAAAAAGCATTATATTTGTTGTGTTTGTTTGCTTTTTGGAAAGTCATGTTGGAGTTGCTTTTGAAGGCAAAATAGACTGAAATGATCCATCCCACTGGAGAACGATGTGGAGCCGTCTCAACGAGAGACCTTATGCACGCCTCCCGGTTCTCGCCAGAAAGTGCGACACTGCGTTTGATGTAGAAAGGGGGCACTGGGATTATTGGACCATTGACTTTCCGGATTGACATTGGTGGAGCTTTCTGGATCAGCCTTGTGGCTGTTGCTGGGTGTCATTTGCCTCACAGTGTTTTTGGCCGAATGTGCGCAGAACTGCGCGTTTGCTGCGCGTTTGCACCAGAAATCTTGTTGGGATGTTTCGGATGTGGATCGAAGCACGTCGGCTGTCCCCATTCGTTGAAGAGAAAGAAGCACATTCGAAGCATCCCGTTCCGATTTCAAGCGGACACTTCCATGCCTTGTGGTTTCGATACCACATCGCGTCCGCAGCTTCTTCGAGGCCTTGCCTCATCCCAGCTGGACCAGCTGTCTACTGACGGTATGTGGAAGCTAAGACTAAGACTCCCCAGTTTCATGCCACTCGCAGCAATCAAGACAAGTTCATCATGCTGATTGTGTGAGTGTGAGAGCATAAGAAATTTGGAGTGAATCAAAGGGGCAGGGAAGAGAGCTGAGTGGTGAAACTTGCAGCAGCTTCTTTAAAAGCGTCTCCTGCTGCTGGCAGGCTGGAAAAGAAAAAGAGTGAGTGCGTTAGGAGAACCCAAAAAACAGTGAATATGAAGAGCTGCTGAGGTGCTCAAAGTCTTTTAATTTTGATTATACTTGCTTGTTTGGGAACAATTTCCAGCAGAGAAGTGTGAATAGATCTTTGTATCAGCTGAAACCTGGCCTTTGGAGAGTGTATGTCATTTTTTGAGACTAAAGCACTCTGTTTTTTCCCAGTTTGGACCCAAACTTAAAAGGAACACATAAACTGCATGGTCCACATGGGACTTCGGTTGTTTGAAAGAAGAGACGAAGTTCTGCAGGCTCTTGGCGGGCGTGCAAGAAGCGGGCGGTTTGAAGAAGGCGGACTCCAAGCATGTCCACAATTGCTTGCTGGGTTGACGACTGGGTTCCGCCTTACTAGTAGTAACAAGAAAGCTATTAGAAACAAGTGCCACGCTATTAATTTAATTTAGATTTAAATTCAATTCTAATAGTTGTTTGTTACTACTAGTAAGGCACCTGTTACTACTAGCGTGGCACTTGTTACGGACGACTGGGTTGATGTGACGGAATGACACTTCGAGAGGTCCACCGGATTGTGGCCGAGCGTAAGGTTCTCTTTGATCGAGCTTATGCTGCAAAGAAGGCTGCTCTTGCAGATGGAAAGAACACTCATCCCTTGTGGGATAGGCGCGACCCAATCGGTTTGTACAGTGTACAGCTGCATGCAGGTGAAGATCGATTCATATCTTCTGTTGAGTGAAGCATAGTGAAGCTATTAAACAAAGAAAAATGTCGGAGCTTGAAGGGGCTCACAAGTGTTCTAGCACTGACCTTCTCTTATCAAACATATGTTTAGAATGATTGTTTATGGTGTTTTTTGCACGAGCTGTTCGGTTTACTTGAAGCATTGTTTAATGTGTTTCGTGTTTATGTTCTTTTTGTCCTTCGTATCGCACCGTTGGAGGCTGATTTTTTCGAAGATCGCCGAGAAGGTTGGCCTCAACAAGGTGCCGTCGATCAGGTTCAGCGAGTCGTCGTGAAAAGGCCAGAGCTTCACACATCCTTTTTTCTTGTATGTTTGTCTTTTCTATGTGTTCTTTTCTTGTTTCTTTTTTGACCGGCCAATGATCATTTGGCTCCGAGGTTTTGAGGGAAACAGAACTTCACGCATCCGCTTTGTCGGATATGTGTTGGAATCCGCCCCCCAACCCAAAAAAGACTGAGAATACAAAAAGGGGCACAGTGATGGTTATTTAGAACTTATTCTGTTGTCCATAGTTTTGTTTTGTCTTCTTCTAGCTTTCTTGCTGGTGAACTAGCGAGGTGCGCGTGATGATCACTGGGAGCGCTCCGATTGCTGACCATGTCTTGGACTTCTTAAGAATCGCAAGAGCCTCAGTCTCCTCGATCTCGTGATCTGAAGAGATTTCCGCATCGATCCTACCCGAAAGATGCACCATGAGCGTTTCGGTTCACATTTTAGGGACAAGTCATACAGCAGAAAACGAGCCATAAGAATTGTAGATGTGTGCCCTGAAGCTTTAGCTTTAACGCACATACTGGTGTCCTCATCTATTTGGTCTTTTAAAGGCTCAGCTATTTGAAGAAGGGAACAAGCTCGTGAACTTATGAGGGGTCACCACTGACACCTAGAATGAGCATGAGGAGACCCACGTGAGTATCCAGCCATTCCACACCTTCCCTCTCCGACAACATCAGGTCTTCGCATGTCCTGCAACCCTGACATGTTTGATTGACCGTCATAGAGAGTGAGGGCGAATTTGGACTGAAGGCTACATATGACCGGTCTTCCATTCTCTGACATTTCACAGAATGCTCATTTTCTTGTGGGAAACTGACAGGTCTTTGAGGGCTATGGTCTCTCAGAGACCTCTGGAGCAGGCCAAAAGGGATCAAAACGATCAGGTGTTTCTTCGAAGTAAATCAAGAAACCGCTAGATGATCTTGTCCCTGATGTTCCAAAAAGGCGTTAAAGTGGACGGTTTCTTCAGGAAAGGACTACTAGGAGCAAGGACGCTACTAGGGGCTCCTGGCATCGCTACTAGGAACAAGAACGTTAGTAGGACCGAAAAGGTTCCGAGGGATGAAGAAAAGATCTTCCTGCTCTGTGTTTGTAGGTACCGTCACCGCGGACGGCGATCTGGCCCCTGGCACCGTCGGTGCGGTGTTGAGCTGCAATGAGCTACGTTTGAAGGACGGGCGGCAGAAGTGACCGATCGGTGCCCCGAACGTAGCGTCCTTGCTCCTAGTAGCTTCTTGTTACTACTAGTAAGGCACTTGTTACTACTAGCGTGGCACTTGTTACTAGTAGCGTCCTTGCTCCTAGTAGCGATGCCAGGAGCTCCTAGTAGCACCAAGTTTTGGCTTTCCTGACGCCAGTGCAGTGATCGTTGTGATGGCAACGTAGACGTTCCTTGCAACAACTTGTCACATTGTTAGGATGTGCCAGACATGGGCTGCAGCCTCAGACTTCCTGCTCACCATGATGTGCTTAAATGGTGCTCACTGTGAACAGCTGTGTGGAACGTGTCAAGTGAGGTTACCTTCGCACCGACCAGGCCACACTGAAAGCAATCGTGGGGCATCGCCCCAGAGACGAGATGAAACTAGTAGCTTCTTGTTACTACTAGTAAGGCACTTGCTCCTAGTAGCGATGCACTTGTTCCTACTTGCTTCTTGCTCCTACTAGTAAGGCCAGGAGCCCCTAGTAGCGTCCTTGCTCCTAGTAGCGATGCCCTTTGTTCCTAGTAGCGTCCTTGTTCCTAGGAGTAAGGCCAGGAATGCCCCTAGTAGCGATGGCCTCCAACCTACTAGCGATGGACTCCACATGACAAGATGAGACGTCGGTGTTTTGTTTTGGTTTGCCAGGTTCACAAAGCGGGAGAAGTCTCCATTCCTTGTCCGAGCTCCAGGAGGGTTCAGAGGGTCGCCGGAGGGCTCACCGGTCGAACTCCAAGGCCATGGCCGCGGAGAGATTTGCTTCAAAGGAACCAATGTCTTCAAAGGCCACATGTCCATGTTTGTCTTGGTACGCGGGCAGCTTTTGTCCAGCTTGAAGGATTTCATTTTCAATAGCAGCCTCTTACTTGAGAAGGCTATTACAAGATGCCAGAGAAGACTGCGGAGGCCACTTTTGAGAGCATGTCAGTGGATTGTTGTTTGCGGTCTTGTGCACGCAAAGGCCGTTGATGAGGATGGATGGTTCCATTCCGGAGACATCGGGTATTCTTCCGAGATGTCATAAGTGTTTGAGAAAGCATGACATGAAAAATGTTTTTTTACCATGTATGGGTTTCTCAATGTGCATGTTATGTGGTCTCAGGATGTGGTTGCCGGATGGCCGGTTGAAAATCATCGATCGCAAGAAGAACATCTTTAAGCTGGCGCAAGGCAGAGAAAGAAGGATGCCCTTTGTTACTAGTAGCTTCTTGTTACTGCTAGTAAGGCCAGGAGCCCCAAGTAGCGTCCTTGTTCCTAGTAGCGATGCCCTTTGTTACAAGTTGAGGATGTGAGAGTTGAACGAGTGCAGCCTGTTTGCGCAGAGTTGGTTTCTGCTTTCGGCTTCGACCTGTCACTTTCGTCGCAGGTGAATACGTTTCCCCGGAGAAGATCGAAGGATTGAACGTCTGAGCTTCAGAAAGCAGAAGAAACCTGGAGCGACCTTTCTTTCTTTTCTTGTTGAAAGCGAGGTTTTAGACCTTTAGCCCGGTTTAGCCCGTTATTCTTTAGACCTTTCATTGCTCTTTTTCCTTTTGCCTTTTTTTGTTGGAAAGCGAGGTACAAAGCAGCTTTGTGGCCCAGAGCTTTGTCTACGGAGATTCCTTGAAGACCCAGTGGGGCACTCAGACGGAAACAAAGGGATAAGACTGTTAAGTGGCTACTAGGAACAAGGAAAACCATAAAAACAGGGAGAAGATTGTAAGAGGAGAAGCCGAAAATTTAGAGCTTTCTTAGGTTGGTGGCTGTCGTGGTGCCGGATCCTGACACAGCAGCCAGTTGGGCCAAGAAGCGAGGATCTCAGATGCCCAAACTGGGAACTGTTGTTACTGGTAGATGCCAGGAGCTACTAGTAGTAATGCCCTTAGCTACTAGTAGCTTCTTGTTCCTAGTAGTAAGGTGCCTTGTTCCTAGTAGCTTCTTGCTGCCAATGGAAATGCACTTGTTACTAGTAGCGTCCTTGCTACTAGTGGCGATGCACCTTGTTACCAGTAGCCTTTTTGAGGGTATGCGGTATGCCTGTTGGCCTCAACTATCTCTGACAACTATGCCAATCTCATGCCGTTGACTCAAGCTTATGAAGGTGGTTCTGTTTAATTGGAGAAACCAGCAAGAAGCAGACAGGATAGGAAGACAGACCCAGTTGCAATGCGCTTCTACAAGCTACTGCCATGTAAGGAGTGGACTCGTCCAGTTCTACCTTTGTGGGGGAGTCTTCATCAAACATCATCAAACTAATGTACAGTGAATCTAATCGCGATGGCCTCCAACCTAATAGCGATGAAGATTATGCTTTTCTCGATAGCAAGCTACATGTCAGAACGGCTTGTTCGACGGATCTCATGAGCAATGAGCGCCTGCGGTGTCAAGGAGGCAGAGTGGGTGGAGCAGATATTCCAGAAAAAGGACAAACTGGGTTTTTACAGCGTAGTAGCCAGTGCATCGCTACTAGTAGCTTAGGTTCTAGCTACTACTGTAGATAGTAGTAATGCCCTTATTACTAGTCCAGAGCAAGACCCTGAAAGCACGAGTCCAGGGAAGAGACCGCCCAAGACCTGGTCCTTCCAAGTGCGCAAGGTCTCGAAGACAGGAAGTCTCAAAGAAGCCTTTTGTCGCACTTGTCTCCAACAAGTTCTACAAATAAAAACACAAGAAGCATCGTTACTAGTAGCAAGAAGAAGCATGGCTTCCATCAGCCGAAGTGCGGCTTTTGCTTCGCAGGCCGCCACACTGTTGGGTGTTGTGCTGGATGCCCCGCGCCGAGACATTGAAAGCGCTTTCCGACGTCGGGCCTTGCGGTGTCATCCAGATAGACATCCGAAGGCCGCGAGTTCAGACAGTGCTGCACTGTTCATTCCATGGACTTCTTGGATGTGGGCTCTGACTGAGCTGTGTGACAAAGAAGCGAAAAATCCGGATGAACGTTGCATTCTTTCTTATTGTTTCATGAATTGGCCTTGAGTTTTGCGCCCAGTCCATCTCAAAGCTTGTAGATGTTGATAGTGTTCTAATCTGATCTTCGGGGCTTCGAGGCTTAAGTCAACTCTTCAGAAACAGAACAACGTTGCGGAGAGCTTCCTTAAAGAAGCCTGAGCAGAGAGCGCGTTCTGGCCCCTAGTAGCGGCCGTTACTTGCTAGTAGCGACTAGACTATATTTACCTACTAACTAGTTTGCTACGTACTTCAGCTACCTCCTCTTCACAGCCTCGGCCCACCCATGCGTTTAGAGAAACTCATCTTTTTTGTATGCTCGTTTATGCTTCTACTAGCGATGGCCTCCAACCTAATAGCGATGGCCCTAGTAGCGTCTTTGCTCCTAGTGGCGATGCCAGGAGCCCCTAATTAATAGCTTCTTGTTCCTAGTAGTAAGGCCAGGAGCCCCTAGTAGCGTTCTCGTTACTAGTAGTAGTGCCCTTGTTACGTTTCTTCGGCAGGATGCCTTAGCCAAGATGCGCTTTTTGCGCCTCAGCCGAGCCAAAGAGCTTTTGCTCCAAAGAGCCGTGACGAGTGTGACGAGCGCTACCACAGGCACCAGTACTCGTGGCTCCAGGCAGGCATCTGCTGGTTCTGCTCCGTTCAAAAATGATTGAAACACAGATAAGCTTGGTCTTAGTAAGATAAAAAACAAGAAAGTTTCTGTGAATGCTGCTTCAAACCTCTAACAGGGAGCCTCCGCGCCCACCTAAGCGGCGAGCGACGGGTGAGAGTGAGCAGAAAGCAGCAGAAGCAAGGAGAGCCAAGGAGGAAGAGCTTCGGAAGCGAGAGGTGCTACAGCATGCCATAACGACTTCTGAGACAGATTCGTCAGTCTGTTTTGGTTTTTGTTGACAGGATTCTGTTCAAACAGAGTCCCCAGTTTCGTGTGGCGAATGATTCTATGGGTCAAGCGGGTTCTTTGTGTTGAGGCGCAGCTTTGCAAGATGCGTTCATGAATGTTGCACTGACATGGATGGAGAATTAGCCCAGCTGGAGACCCCAATAGCAAGATACAAACCGGGACAAAAAGAAAAATCTGGAAACAGCTGCAGTTTTCAACACATCGACCATCTCTTCCTTGGACACCATCATCACAAAATGACCAGGGCACCATCAAAACATGACCGAGACACCGTCACAACATGATTGGGACACCATCACAACATAACCGGGACACCATCACAAGGT